ATATTAATTTAGTGGGACTAACCAACAATTCTATAATGGGGTTGGTTAAGATCCCTTAACTCAAAGAAGAAGTGGACATGTGTAACACCTTGCTCACGGACTATGAATCCATGCCCAAATGTTAGTCAAATTTACATATTTCATTTCTCTTAAAAATTTCTCTTACATTGTTTGGTAAGTAACAACATAATGAACGTAATAATACAACGCCTTGAGAAAGTTTTCACCGTGCCTGCCGCTTCCTCCCGCTTTGCCTTCCTATGAGCCTTCTGATCGGTTCTCCTATCCTTGTAAACTTGGTAATGGGTGAGTATTGAATACTCAGCAAGACGGTCTACTCCGTCTCACGACCTAACTACCCTAATCTACCCTTTACCACCATAACTTTCACATGATGCCTAAGCAACCATGTGTTACGTAATTCCACACTTAGTCCACCTTGTCAGTTATGTAAGCCCTTCAACGGCCAACTCATAACTGTTACTTATATCACTTATATGGTAACAACGCATGACTCTAACAAGCTCGTTGTTCCCATTTACTTAAACTTAGGATAACTGCGCATGCCCCCTGTCCTGATCGTAGCTTCCTCACTTTCACTTATCGTCCGGTCCGTCGGAGGTCCTTTACCTAATGACTCCCCGAGTCCTTCCAGCGGTTGGGTCTTCGTGCCATTGTTCAGGCTAAAAACAAACAAGTCAGCGACATGTGCCCATACACACGCCTCTATGCAATGAAATAAGGGTGGCATTGTGCAGCTACTATCCTACCAACTAGTATGCTTTTTCTATTCTAGACTCGCCTCAGGTTCACAATATTTCTCCACTACATTTTAACCTAGTTCTTTATACTAGGTTTTTAATCAATAGCCGAAACATTTCAAACAATACCTTTGCCCCGTATGGTCGGTCCTAGGTAAGCATGACTATCCCATTACGTTACCCATGAGATATCTATGGTCACACGGAGCCGTCCCTGCAGAAAGACAAACATAAGACTAACCATAAATTGTGGATAACTCACGATACCAACTTGTCTCGTGGACAAAACAAGCTTTCACGTGTCTACCCTCTATCCTCGTGGTCGTATGCTTCCTAGGCGAGTTCGTCAAACCTCTTTGACTCTTCTCGTACCAGCCTCACCGGCAGACCTTGAGTCGAGTTGGCTAAGGTAATATTAGTATAAGTACATTCAATGTACTATACGGATAGAGGAATACAAAGAGTTAAACATTTAATATGTTTCTAGTAGAGTGAAATTAGAATCTAATGGATATGAATTGATGTAGATACAATTATTACAAAGTTTCGTTTTTTATTCGTAAAATTCTCAAAAAAAAACTTGGATAACCACCATTAAGATTATCCAAGTTGATTTCCTGCCTAGATCACATTATTCCCTACCGGATTGACAAATCCTAACAAACAAGCGAACCATCGGGTAGAAACTACTTCCTATGGAGAGGTAGCTTTACCATAGCTCTATTCCATGGTTTAATGGTGGTTAGTCAAGGTACCTTCCAGTTTCTCGACTAGTTTCACATTCGACCCATGGTAGCTCCCTCGGTAGGGTATAGCTATGCCAATGCAAGACTTTATTTGGACTCCTGAGTAAACTCATTCATCTATACTCCTAAACAAACATAACTGTATGCAAGTGTGAGCTAGGCCATAAACCCTTGACGGAGTCCTTTCCCAGACTCACCAATCAACGAGCCACCCTTGGTCCGGCAAGGCCGAGTCAAGTTTCCTCAAGACATATGATCACGTCTGGAAACCCATAGCCTATGTATCCTAACGATAATCCAACGTGATGCTAGATTAGTCACCTGCCATGACCTACCGATCTTCCCTAGCTTCTTACCAACTTCACTTCTGAGTTCTTAGCCGAATCTTCTTTCGATCCAACTGGATGCTATGCCACTACACTGCAAGCTGAGCTCATGCTAGTCAGATCGGTCCTGTGTCACTTCTGGATTGAGGCCACATCGGCTTTCTTTACCGAGCACCTATCAACCCGCAACACAACCTCTATCAGGTCGTGTATCGAGTTCTATCGGGACGCAGCACGATCGCTATTGAGACACGGCACGAAACTCTGTCGATACGTCTTTACTGTCCATAACCAGACTTTGCCGATAAATTGGATATTATAAAAAGTTATCAAAAGTTCGACTATAACATTAGTTCAAATCCCAGTTGATATTAAAAAATTCAAAGGTGTATACTTTTATATGGAAAAGTGGTAAAAGGCAATTGTAATAAGGAAAATCGCCTCTAGTTTTAACTTTTAACCCTTCAACTCTGAAAACACTTTAGTACTAAAACCCAACCCTACGACTATTCCGTCTTTTATCGAATTCTTTTGGCCGCCCATTGTTTCTCCTCTCTCAAACCCAAATTCATTGCTCAATCGCTCCACATAAATATCTAAATCTGCGTTTCCTGGATTTGGATTCAGATCCAACTCGCCCAAGTAAGAAGACGAATATGGATGAGATAAAGCTTTCGTTCCCACCGGAGAGCCCACCGCTTTCGGTCATCGTCGCCCTCTCTCTCTCAGCCTCGCCGGTGACTATTGACTCCTCCGCCGCAACCGCCGTCC